TGGAGCAACTGAGGTCCACCGCGCTTTGTTTATTGTGTCTGCTTACGCTCCCAATTGATTGTGGCTCTGAATCTGCCAGAAGCGGCTTTACGACTATCTGGGTGCCCTTTTACAACAGGCTAAAAGCACAGATATAGTTGTGGTTGCTGGTGACATGAACACCCAGGTGGGTAGACTAAGCGCTGCTGAGGCCCGATTAAGTGGTCGTTTTGGATTGGACAGGAGACGCACGGACAACGGGGATCGCATACTTCAGATGCGTGCCGATCACAGACTGTTCCTTTGCAGTACGAATTCCCGGAACGGTGGAATTCGCTTGAGAACGTGGTGCCCACCAATAAACCAGCGCCGAATCCAAATAGACCACATCATCGTCAGTAATCGGTGGCGAGGGTCTATCACGGCCTGACGCTCCTTCTGGAAACCAGCGTGGACTCCGACCATGCACTTGTACACTGCTGCTTTTCAGGTGTACGCAAAACGCGCACACCTCGCTTAGCCATTGAGAAGCTGGTGGACCCAGAAGTCAAACGAAACTATCAGAACCAGCTACTTGAGCGCCCGCTGGACGGTACGATGTCTTATATAAACGGCTAAGACACCAATCAAAGCCGGAACGTCCGTCTGCGGTACAACCCAGCAAACCTGATCCAAACACTGGATCTCTGATAGGACAATGTCTTTGCTGTAAATTCTTCCTGGTCGCAACCACAACTCCACCGACGCATCATCCGACGCCAGGTGAAACTGAGTATCCGTGTAGACCAAGAAGCTTAATGGACCCGAAAGTCCGAAGAAATGGAAGATGTGAAGAATGCTGGAGACGTCCGCAACCTTTTCCACTCGATTTGTTCGACCGGTCCTCGAAAACCTGTTTTCAGTGAAATAAACAGGGACCAAAATGGCTCCCTTATATGCAGCAAAGCAGGAGGTTCGGACCGTTGGGCACAGCACTTCAAATAGCAATTCAGCTGGCGTCCTGGTACCTGCAATCGTTCAGCTGTGCCATCCTTTCGGTGCTTAACTGCCAATCAATATTTGACCGTCAAGCTGTTGTTATGCCTACGTCGCAGATGATGCAGGTTCACAAAAGATGCTCTGGCCTTCCCAATCCGGATGGAAATACCATCTTTCGCGAGACCACCGGGACTGACAGTTACCAAGTTAGACAAATTTGTCTGCTATTTCAGTCGGCTCATCCAGTCTCGCAGTAGCACTTTACACTTTGAAGGTGTAAAGCGCATGTCAAACCGTGAGACAGAGTTCTTTGGATTATTTAATACTGTTTGGATTATCACGGGGTCAGACCCAAGAGCAGCTGCCGTCTACGTACTCGATATTTGTGTGGGGGACACCTTTGCTCCACAGACACTGTGATAGTGCCTGACGGTCCACAGAGTCGAAGGCAACTTTCCGATCAAGGAACACAATCATTGTTGGTTACTGGAAGCAGTGTCACCGTTCCAGAATATGTCGGAGGGTGAAGATGTGATCGATGCATCTTGTTGCAGGACGGAACCCAGCCTAGTTTTAACGGATCTCTCCCTGTGTTCAGTGAAACGTTGAAGAATAAGACCAGAGAGGACCTTTGATGCCAAATATGCCACGCTGATGCCACGATGGTTTTCACACAGCGTCCGCGTACCCTTTTTGGAGATGGGGACAACTGTCGACATGCCCCATTCAGCAAGCACTTTCTCATCACTCCACCAATTAATTTTGTTAGATTGGTCATCAGGGATTAAGTGCCTTTTTGAAGAGGGCTGGATAGAGACCATCCGATCCTGGTGCCTTCTCAAGTTTCAGTACGGATATCTCGTACGTTATTTCTTCTTCCGACGGGCAATCAGGGTTTACATTCCATTCGCCCGTATGAGCTTTCTCCACAGGCTGGGTTGCAGGGGGCCAACTAAACTGTTCTTTGGAGTGTTCGGCCCATCTTCCCAGCCGACGTTTTTTTGTGCGTGAATCAATGAGCTATCTTGGCTTCAAGGGTGAGTCCTAGAAACTCCTTAACATCACCCGGACTTCACGATCACATACTTCTGATAGCCCTATAAAAGTGGTGTCGGGCAATGATTTCCACTGTTTCCACCACGTCCTCGATGAAACAGTGGATCCGAATCCAAAAGGTCTCAAAATTGGTGCTCATGTCGTCGCTGATGAAAATCTTGCCAACCTGGAACACAAGGATGGCATCGGCTTAGTCTCTGTAGACGAAAGGAAAGCACAAGCGTTACTGAGCAAACTAACTACCGCTGGAACGTCTTTCGACAACTACAAAATGCAAAGTCAGATTGCAGAATGGCTCTTGTAGATGCCCTGGTACTCCGCGAATTACTGAACGTTGTGAAGAGCTTTACATACCTCAATAATTGCATTATCCATAATGGAAGTGTGCTGGTGAAATAAGTGCAAGAATACCGAAAGTCTAAATCATGTTTGCCAAATTCGCGTCACCTGCGGCAACATTAGGTAGTGTGTACCAGGTTGCCCTAGGAGTATGGTTGAGAGATAACCAGATAACCAGAAAAAAATCGTCCGGCTGAAGCACCCTTTCGGGGCCTAGCTGCATGCCCCACGAAAGGAGGCACGGGGGCTGGGATACTACCAGGTCGTCCAAGCCTAGACAGGTGAAGTCAAGTGGCAGAGGTCGGGTTCGAACCACGGACCTTCCGGTCAATAAATTCGCGCTCTAATCACTTGATCCATCTCGCTCCCCTCAGATAACTAGGAGACGGAAGAATGAAATAGAACGCCAGTGGATTATGAAGGCTCAGGAGATGAAAAAGACTTTCGCTGCAGGCAACAACCGCGCCTTATTTCAGTTGATTAACCGGTCGGAAGACGACAAGTACCAGCCAAACGACATGCGAAAAAGACGGAAGGGCAATTCACTCCCTCAATCGTCTTTTTGAGCAGTAGGCTGAGCACTTCAGAGGACAGTTCGGCTAGTCTCTTTCAACACAACTGCTGGAAGAACCCAGCGGGGCTGAACGGAACACCGACACCAACCCACCATCAACAACAGAATTCCAGCTTGAGATGTCAATCCTCCAACGCGAAAAAACACCTGGCACGGGTGGTCTGTACCCCGCACCTTCAAAGGTGGTGAAGTCCTGGTGAACGGTCTCACAAACACAGTTCAGAAGATTTGGAACGAAAACAGAATATCAGTAGAATCTCGACCGTTATCCCAGTTTTTTTTAAGTCGCAAGGATGTCATGTGAAAATTATCGTGGCACCAGCCTGGTATCCGTTGCATATAAAGTGCTCTGTGACATTATTGTGCGCAGGTTGATCAATCAACGGGAGAGATTCGTGAAAATCAAGCTGGGTTTCGCCCCGGCTGAAGATGCATCGACCATATCTTTACTTTGAGACAAATTGATGAACAGCACCACCCCTTCAAACATTTTAAAGTTGGTTTTGACTGTGGACCGTTAGAAACTGTGGCAGTGTCTGGTTTGTGATTGATGATAACCGACGACGCATTCATCATCATCTTCACTGACAGTTGCACAGGTGCTAAAACACCAGTACATTCGTTTAGTTCGGCTGGAGAAAGTACTGACATGGGAATAAAAAGGAGTTATAAAAGATATCTACGACAAACACACTACGAACCCACATCCCTCGTCACTCAGCAAAACGACCCGGAAACACGGACGTCGTCGATCATGTGAAGCTTATTCTGGAAGGCGGAAACGATCGATAACACGTGAACTTCTCGTAACTTCGTTTGCTCCCTTCTGCCGAGTCGCAATTTTCCCCCTCTTGGTTTAAGCTACACCGAATTCGACAAGGAAAACAGAACTCTTCCCGATGGACGATAACCGGTATGCGTAGCACATGACGATGTAGTGCTGGATGAGGTCCTGAAGTGAACTACGAACATTCATCGGATAATCACATCATTCCGAATTCGTTGGGGTCAGTCTTTGTAAGCGACGGTCCACAGACTTTGATGATCACCGTCATTATCGACAGCAACATACCAGTGAGCGAAGTCCTGCATACATTTTGTTCGATGGAGAAGAGGGCGTTTTCCTGACGCTGTCCGATAAACATTGTAATTCACCACCATGGGCAACAATACCAGTGAAGTAGCAACTGGTCTTAACGTGCCCTAAGACCACAGAATACCCTACCGGAAGATGGAAAGGGCAACAGTGAGGAATTATTGAAAAAATCTAATGTTCCTGGAGAATAGGGTGCCTAAATCTTCCAAAACATCCGGAAGGGACGCGCTTGATCGTTATGCTGGGGGCAAGATACTGTCAATAGGATTGACCCATAACATTTGTAAACCTTACCCAACATAGATGCAGCACACAAATATAGGACAGATGAACACCAGCAAACCACTCCGACGAAATTCGCCGCTGGATCACGCGGATCCCTTCCGGAAGGATAGGATGTCCCACAGTGGTCAAGTCGACATCGGTCACTTTAATTTTGCGCCGCTACGTCATGGGGAATCCTTCGAGGAGCAAATCCACAAAAGGAGTATAAGGCAAATAGAAGACAACGGAAACCACTAGTCTTTCGTCGGTACGCTTGACAATGCTCGGGTACTTGACCTAGCGCGAATATGTACGAATTTATCCCCTACCTTGTCGAAATCCTGCATGATGTTCTCGAGCTTGCGCCTCGCGTGGTGTGAGGTCGCGGTCTTACCGAAGATAGTGGCTTAAGACCCTAAATGGAACATCCACTTTAGACAATTTTCTGGATGAATGTGCAGTGAGTGGCTGGCCCCATTTAGCTGGAGTGCGTCCTCGTCCCCAAATTAAGGCAAAACGCACCTATCAGTCTTTGAATAACCCTGGCGACAGCTGACCTGGTCTTGTTGCCAGATAGCATATGCAGGTAGAATGGCATATTGGTACACCATCGATGATCACAGATATGAAAACCCCTCAGATCCTCGGATTACAGAGGCTACATATCACAGTACCAACAGAAACCACATCGTAGTCTGGTATGTTTTAATATAAATGACAATGATATTTTTGACGTCACAGTTGGAGATAACTGAATACGATTCTAGCCTTCAACATTCATGTACTGACCAGGTCTGTCATAATGATATCGTAGTCGATAAAGCTCCCGATTTACACAAGGCGCTCCAAAGCATTGAGTATCCACATCTACTTAGATTGCGAATGGATGAATTGATCAATAAAGTTCGAGCAATGAAAACAAGAAGCTGCGGAAGTCGCGAAATCCTGCTATGTACAGAAGCAACAGAAGGAACGCTTCTGCATCGGACTTCAAGCGTCCCCACCCCAAGCACTGTTGTGGGATATTACATCAAAAAACTTATGACTGGTTTCAAGGGTCAAGGTCGAAGCCCAAAGTGGACTCCCGTCTATGACACGCTGTTTTGACAACCACAGCAAGTATTTCAAACTTACGAATTTGCTCTCATCTTTCTTTCCTAAAGTGTCCGTCTTTCTTGTACGAGTCCCACACAACCCACGTATAATGATGGTTTGATATTTCGAACTCAGACAAAGCGGACAGAATATTGCTTTGGAAAGCACCTTGTTCAGTGTGGATAAACGCTGTCTCACTGGGTTCTGATAAAAATGTCACAGGACGAGAATCAGGATTCTGGTGATGCCACCGACGAGTCTGTGAACTAATTAACCGAAAATATGAGTTGAGCTGACAAACAGACAGCTGTGCCGATCCTGCTATAAACTATCAAATACCTTCGCTAACGCTGACATATGCGATGCAGCAGATTGTAGAGCTGGGTTGCGGCTTCACCACGCACAGAGGTCGATGGCTTTGGAACAGGACCGATTTAGCAACGGGTCAGCGAGCATCGGATTTCTAAAAGGATGGACAGTGTCCCAGGCAATTTACTATAATGCACCTGAAAACCCATCAACAAATTCAATCTCATTTGCAATCATTTAGACCAACAGCATTAGGCCTCAACGGTGTATGGGTTCTAGTGGTTCCAACTGTCTACGTCCGAGACGGACTGAACAAGAATGTCCATGTTACGTGCTTTCACGGTCACCTACAACGCACAACCCTTCAGGTTCCGATGCCATAAACGACGCGAGTTGGTCGAGATTATACGTGATTTGATGACATGCATATTAACTGTTACACTAAAACCTCAGCTCAAACAGAAGTCACAGCCGCTGATGAACTGAAGTGGCTATGACTGTTTGCGTACCCAGTCTACGGGCTCTGTTCCGGGCTCTCTTGCACCGACTGGATATTACTTTACGGATTTCGCCCGCATGACCCACTAGACCCCATTTACGCACGCACTCAGTGCACGCACTCGCGCCGCACCGGGATTCACGTACTGTGACCGACAAAATGAGCTTCGGTTATCCCCGTGTTACCATGGTAGGACCTCAGTTCGACTCTTGATTGAAGGTCTAGAGTTGGGCTTAATCTACTTCCTCAAAATGCGCTTGCATACCTTCGAAGTTACGAAGTGACACTCTACACTGAACATGTGGAGCGTAGACATTGTTTGTCAATGCTTACCATGACCTAAACAACCGACTTCTTTGACATATCCCAAAAAGAAACTCCAATGCCGCATACGCCCGACAAAGACTTTTGTATTGACTGCGTACTGAAGCTATCCGCCAACCCCACACTAATGTAGCCGAGAGAATATCTCGCGTTGACATTTCGCGCCACGCTTCGCTGTCAGCATTGAAAGTCACAAACAAGTTAAAGTCTGTGCAGGCGAGCGTGCGGATAATATCAATACCAGTCAGGTACTAATTTCTACGCACGTCTGACAGAAACAAACTGGTGCGGCAACCGAAAAAGCAGCGGCTGAGTTGACGGTTGACGGGTCTTGACCGGATTTCACTTTTAGTGACTACAGCCGGTTGACATGAACGGAGAGCAAGAAACATACATCGGCCACGAGATCGACAGGCGCTCTGCAAACACTACGTACTCATTTAACTCGGGAGGAACGTGAAATCACAGTCCCGTACGCAAAGACGAAAACGTCCAGGACACGATGCATTGTCTCACCCGGAAGTACAGCGAAAACTCGTTAATCACACGAAAACATCTATGAGGTCGATGCGCGAATTCAGAGAAACAGGAAGTTTACACACCTCAACTGGGGCGTTAGACCGTCGGGAAGTTACAGAACGACCTCAGAAGTCTGATCACTTGAAATCTTGCGCTTCATTAAGGAAAGCTCAAGGAAAACGCAGCAAACTGGTAATTTGTTAGGTACCTAACCCATTTTGATAACTTGCAGTTACAACTCTCAAAACTTCACCCGGTAACTTACGAATTCCGTTAACAACTTTTCGAATTCGCATTTGAAACAATGAAGTCTGTTGGCACATTTGGTCTTGATAGGATGGGTCATATCCTGCACTTCCAATGACATCTGTTCAAGAATATCCTTAGTTTCGTCAAACAAAGTGGAGGTCTCCCGAATGACCCCTGATCTTTCATCTGCATTGGGTATCAGCGCTTATATCACAAACTGACCGTCTTTTAGTGAAGGTATTTTTCCAAGGTTTGATGTTATATCACTGGTGAGTGCACCGTACTGCTTCTCGTACGTTTCGAACAGAGAGACCATACTTACTAAGCAGCGGACAAAAATGAACTACCACTCGTGATTGGTTAAAAAACTTCAATAGGTTCACGACAGGACAGGTCAGTGCACAACGCGACGGAGAAGGTGGGACAGGGACATGTGAGTTGACAATGAAAACGAACACTTGTCCAGATTCCTTCATCAGAAGTTGTATGGATATGGCTCAGTGGTCCAATGAACGACAGAATTATCACTACTGTTCCGACCTAATTTTCATTCCTGATGTTAATTGCCACTGAAGAACATAATGGAGATAAGCTAAAGTAAGGAAGGCACCTAACTAAAATGGCTATACAGGATTATCTTCTTATCAGTTCGTTGGCGGGCGAACCTTGGGAACTCAACCAGTGGCAAACATGTAATGGTGCTGTAATCTTCAGTGATTAACTGATTGATGCACAGGATCGAGGCTTTCACACAATATTTGCGGTCGGGCTTATTCTTGTTGCCTCAATTCACCTGGAAAACACAAGCACAATGGGTGTGACACTGTCCTCTAGATTCTCATCCGGGATAGTAAGCTCCTTAGTGTGAGAGCTCATATGAAAAGGCGTTTAAAAGTGCTTTGAACTGTGAACACCCATCAGAGGTGGGCTATTTCAAACACCAACTTCCCGAAGTGAGAAAAATTGCTCCCCAAATAAATCCAGCTTTAAACTATTTTTACAGCGTCTGCGCCATGTATCAGTTAAACAAACGGCGAAAACCCTATTGGCCGAACCTCATTCAAGCAGGGCTTAAGTACTAGGCCTTCTGGTAGGCTATGACGATCCGAGGGAAAGGGGCCTGTCATGGTGAGACGCGTTTGATAATCCACGGGCATAAATCTTACAACCATTTTCTCTGCAGACCTTTGGGCACGCTCAAACAGGCTGCGTTCTTCTTGTTTCCTAAGTCGTAAAACTTTGATAACATCTTCAACAACGGTCTGAATTAGGCCCCATAGATTTTCTGGACGTCCATACAAGTAGTACTTGGGAAATTGAGTCAACCCCCCCCCCCGCACAATGACAGATGCCTTTTGAGCCCATTTTTAATGGTGCAGTAAGAAGGACATGTTTGAAGTTGGTCAAGTATCTAAATCCTTTTCGGCATCTATCCTCGCAATATCTTCTGGTTTATTCTTGCAATGCAAGAAAAGACTTGAGGTGTGTCCTCCAAATGATATATGGAGGCAGTTTTCATCATTCAAAGAGGCACACCCTCGGCTTAATTTATTTAGGGGGCATTAGTGTAAAAACTACGTTGTTTCAAGTCGTCCGGGATAGTTGACATGGAACTGAATGAAAATATGTAGACTTGAGAAATGGAATCGCCTAGTTAGAAATGTTCTGAAAGCAACATTCTATTCCCAAGATGTAAGCCTGAAATGCCTCAGACAAACGGCCGTCAGGTTCAGCCTAAATTATTTCACAGTGATGGTGACAACGGTCCAGGTTGTTACATATAACAGATTTCAAACGCTTACTGAGGAACCAAACACTCTCATGTTCGTTTGGGAACTATTCATACGTCGGAGGCTGATGGCTTGCTGTCTAATAGAAGAATCAGACAGTTTTAGACGACAGCATTTCCGAGACTAGTAAATTCAGCTTTCAGGTTTATCCAGTGAAGAGATGAAGGTTATCCTGTGCTTTTTTGACGGGCTTCCTACGATCTGCGCACCATCTACAGAGATGAAGTGTTACTTCGGGCCGTTTTTGATGATCGAGAGAGGAAACGGACCAAGAAGCGATTACAGATTGTATTTCCGTTAAAAAATTTTTATTCAATCTGTGAAGCTGATAGCCAGTGTCAACTGAGCAATCCTCAGAGTGATCAAATGTAATCAAGATAGAATACTTCGTCCGTATTTCCACCGATGCACCACACCGTTCTTTCTCCTGAAAAGCACGAAAGCTTACGCAAGCACACAGGACTTATAGAAGCTTCAATTGGACCTTCTGACAAAATTTGTCACGGCAGACCGGATTGTTAACTAAAAACTGTTACATCACCTTCAGCAGGACGGGCAATTTAACTTAAAGTCAGCTGCATCATCTCTACCAATGTTCTGTGAATGGGTTATTCCCGTAATTTTTCAATCGGGTACAGAATACACCACTTACAGCATCATGTTAAATGCGTCAGAAGCGCATTGTTTACTAATTTTGCACTTGGATTTTATGCGACTGGATGGACTTCGTAAAGTACATGCCGTTTTCCTATCACTTAGGCTCCCTGGTTCCTCTAGTCATCGGTTTTGACGTAATTAGGTTGATTACCAGAAGTTGGCAAGCGCTAACCAACGTCTGTTTTATCAGAATGCTGATGATTAAAAATATTATATGCACTTAATAACAACAACTACAATGCAAGAAAGGATTTAACCACTGAATGACTTTTTGTTTGAGGAAAAATGTTGACAGTTCCTAAGTGAGGTTTCGGAGGAGGTCCGGACGCAGGACGAATCGTCCCTGCAGCATAGCTGTTACAGGAGTCCCGTACATTTTCATGGGGTCTTCCAGAGCTCAGTGGTCTTCCGGTCCTGACCAAACATGTGTCACTGGGCCAGGAGGCGTGTCTATTTATTGAGTGAAGTAGGAGGAAATGAACTTCATTTGTGTTGTGAAATTACACAAACATGAATAAAGCTTCACGTGATGCGGGTGAAGCTGGTAAGCCAGGTGCAAGCTGAAAATAGCGGCTGCATGAAAAATGGATAGCAGGTTCTAGTGTACATTTTGTACCGCGTAATAGAAACAAACCCAAAATTTTCCTGAAATGGTGGTTCAAAAAGGAAACTTCAACATGAAGTTTTAGCATTTGATGGTAAATATTCGGGCCCTCAAGATCTCCTCACGCCGTCGCAGTTTTATTGGAAGTTGTTTAAACGAATTCGAAGTTCACTCTGGGCGCAGAATTCGTATTTTAATGTCTGTCGGTGGCTTCGCGCGTTGACTTTATGAAGACGGTGAAAAACTTCGTGGAAAACTGTTTTTTGCCTTTTTTGGCTTTTTTGGAAACAGTCTCGAAACGACTTAGAAAATAATCACGACCATTAAGTCCGCGTAGTCTCCAATTGGAGTGGCCATTTGCCACCTTGATATGAAAATTTTCTTCTATGGTTGCAGCAAGCGTCCCACCAAATCCAAGGAATTCGTCACAACTAGTGAGTTTATTGTTTTTCATAATGGCCAGAATACATCATATTTAACTCAACGCAAGGTTTGTTCTTCACTGATATACCGAGTCACCAGTAGTGCCGTTGGGTGAACCATTGAGTTTGTGGGCAGAACAAGCAGATGGCACAATATGATTGCCATTGGTTACAAGTCCTTGGACCAATTTAACGGCCTAAAACGCTCTCGTAGGTAACCCGCTCATCTGGGAACTATTGAAGATATGAACTACGGGCAAGCCATCAGATTGGGTATGTTAGTCACGGTACCGTCATCGTGACGCCGTACTTGTGTTCGTGGACAGCCCCGCACATGAACATCTCGGATGAGTCGTTTATGGTTTTCATTGAAGTAAGGACATTCTTAAGTATATTGAGGGTTTACGGTGGTCCATTGCTGTCATTCAAACGAGGTAATGAGGCAGCCACGTCTACATTGGGAACTCAGAATAGCAGAGTGCCCGAAAGGTTTCCTAGGAACGACTTAGGATGCCGCCCGGAATAACAGACAATCAAAAGTTGTCGCAATTCCTAACTACTTCAATTAGGCGACATAGCCCGATTTAAAAAACGGTGATCAATATCTACGTGCAATCTATGGGTGTGCGGTCGACCTATATTTCCAGCCTCGTTTTTATCGGCCCGCATAGATACTGGCCGGATTTTCACTATAGGTAGCAGACATAAGCGAGAGCGCGCACAGTCATGGGTATGATGGACCATCTTTGCCCCAACTATACGCAGCGTCCTAATCCAATTGCCAAAGATGGTCCATCATACCCATGACTGTGCGCGCTCTCGCTTATGTCTGCTACCTATAGTGAAAATCCGGCCAGTATCTATGCGGGCCGATAAAAACGAGGCTGGAAATATAGGTCGACCGCACACCCATAGATTGCACGTAGATATTGATCACCGTTTTTTAAATCGGGCTATGTCGCCTAATTGAAGTAGTTAGGAATTGCGACAACTTTTGATTGTCTGTTATTCCGGGCGGCATCCTAAGTCGTTCCTAGGAAACCTTTCGGGCACTCTGCTATTCTGAGTTCCCAATGTAGACGTGGCTGCCTCATTACCTCGTTTGAATGACAGCAATGGACCACCGTAAACCCTCAATATACTTAAGAATGTCCTTACTTCAATGAAAACCATAAACGACTCATCCGAGATGTTCATGTGCGGGGCTGTCCACGAACACAAGTACGGCGTCACGATGACGGTACCGTGACTAACATACCCAATCTGATGGCTTGCCCGTAGTTCATATCTTCAATAGTTCCCAGATGAGCGGGTTACCTACGAGAGCGTTTTAGGCCGTTAAATTGGTCCAAGGACTTGTAACCAATGGCAATCATATTGTGCCATCTGCTTGTTCTGCCCACAAACTCAATAGCAGGACGGGCAATTTAACTTAAAGTCAGCTGCATCATCTCTACCAATGTTCTGTGAATGGGTTATTCCCGTAATTTTTCAATCGGGTACAGAATACACCACTTACAGCATCATGTTAAATGCGTCAGAAGCGCATTGTTTACTAATTTTGCACTTGGATTTTATGCGACTGGATGGACTTCGTAAAGTACATGCCGTTTTCCTATCACTTAGGCTCCCTGGTTCCTCTAGTCATCGGTTTTGACGTAATTAGGTTGATTACCAGAAGTTGGCAAGCGCTAACCAACGTCTGTTTTATCAGAATGCTGATGATTAAAAATATTATATGCACTTAATAACAACAACTACAATGCAAGAAAGGATTTAACCACTGAATGACTTTTTGTTTGAGGAAAAATGTTGACAGTTCCTAAGTGAGGTTTCGGAGGAGGTCCGG